CAAAGGCTTTACAAAGCCGAAACGTTCACCTCATTTCATATTTCTCTGTGGATTTTCCGCATAAAATGATGAGTGTTTTGTGTTTTGTGATCGTCAATTGCATATATATATATATATATATATATATATATATATATAATATATATATATATATATATATATATATATATATAAGGGCATCACCCTCAGCAGTTATCACCTCAGCAGTCATCACCTCAGCAGTCATCACCTCAGCAGTTATCACCTCAGCAGTCATCACCTCAGTAGCCATCACCTCAGTAGTCATCACCTCAGTAGTCATCACCTCAGCAGTTATCACCTCAGTAGTCATCACCTCAGCAGTCATCACCTCACCATTCATCACCTCAGCAGTCATCACCTGAGCGTGTGAATCAGCAGTCATCACCTCACCAGTCATCACCTGAGCGTGTGAACCAGCAGTCATCACCTCACCAGTCATCACCTCACCAGTCATCACCTGAGCGTGTGAACCAGCAGTCATCACCTGAGCCTGTGAACCAGCAGTCGTCACCTCACCAGTCATCACCTCAGCAGTCATCACCTCACCAGTCATCACCTCAGCAGTCATCACCTCAGCAGTCATCACCTCACCATTCATCACCTCAGCAGTCATCACCTGAGCGTGTGAACCAGCAGTCATCACCTCACCAGTCATCACCTCACCAGTCATCACCTCACCATTCATCACCTCAGCACCATTCATCACCTGAGCGTGTGAACCAGCAGTCATCACCTCACCAGTCATCACCACAACAGTCATCACCTGAGCGTGTGAACCAACAGTCATCACCCCAAACTCGTGGTTCTCAGACAATGGCCTGAAAAGCCTCCCATTGTGACCCCTCAATGCATCTATTATTCATCATGATGGCCAATTCATATATTTTATGAGTTTTAAGTAAAAAGTTCGTTTAGATCCTGTGGCAAAGGATTACGGTCCTCTGCGTGTGTACATTTAGAGATTAAAGTTAACACGAGATTTTCCCTCTTGTAAATCCAGTGATCTGCGAACTAATGCTGAAATTTACCGATCACGGGAACGGTGTCGTTTAGCAAAACATTGTCCGTGTGGAGATTGCTCTCTCACGCACCCCCAACCACTTGGGCTGGACGGTAGAGCGACGGAAGAGCGTCATGCAGGTCGGTGTTCAATCCCCGACTGTCCATAAGTGGTTGGGCACCATACCCTTCCCCTCCGTTCCATCCCAAATCCTTATCCTGACCCCTTCCAAGTGCTATATAGTTGTAATGGCTTGGCGCTTTCTCCTGATAGCCCCCTCTCTCTCTCCTGATCAGCTGAGTTAAAGTGGTTTGTTAAGGGGCGAAATTAACATGATGACTCGTTTTCTATTTGTGGATCCTCTAGTAGGTTAGTGTAGGGGACTTTAGTACGTCAGTTTCTTGACGTTGCGACACTATAGGAGGACGGGTTGGTTAAGGGACCCACGAAATTGGTGGAAATGGGTAGTTAAGGGCATACTACACTATTGTGTCCGTATACCCTCCCTGTCATTCGGGCCATTTGCTTGGGCTGGTTAGTACAGCGACGGTGTTGATTTTTGCAGGTCGGGGTTCGATCCTTGATGGTGTAAGTGATTGGGCACTGTTCCGTGACTCCGTTCTCATATCCCAGCTCCTTGTCCTCATATCCCAGCTCCTTGTCCTCATACCCCAGCTCCTTGTCCTCATATCCCAGCTTCTTGGCCTCATATCTCAACTCCTTATCCTCATATCCCAGCTCCTTATCCTCATATCCCAGCTCCTTGTCCTCATATCCCAGCTCCTTGTCCTCATATCCCAGCTTCTTGGCCTCATATCTCAACTCCTTATCCTCATATCCCAGCTCCTTGTCCTCATATCCCAGCTCCTTGTCCTCATATCCCAGCTCCTTGTCCTCATATCTCAGCTCCTTGTCCTCATATCTCAGCTCCTTATCCTCATATCCGTTCAAGGTTCCACAGAGTCGTAATGGCTTAGCGCTTTCTCCCGATGAGAAATCTTAGCTACCAAGCTAAGCTAAGGTGTTGACCAAACAAGAAAGTGAAGGAACGACGACGTTTCGACTTGAGAATGGTCCAGGACGGACCGAAACGTCCTCGTCCCTTCACTTTCTAGTGTGTGGTTTGGTCAACATATTTCAGCCACGTTATTGTGACTCCTCGTCTGCATAAGCTAAGGGCTCAGCCAGGAACCTCAGCATCCAGGCTAAGCTAAGGTCCCAGCCTGGAACCTCAGCATCCAGGGTAAGCTAAGGTCCCAGCCAGGAACCTCAGCATCCAGGCTAAGCTAAGGTCCCAGCCAGGAACCTCAGCTTCCAGACTGTGACCATCAACTCCCATCCACCGAGAAATAACCATGTTCCCTCTAGACAATGCCGAATGGTGCACAAACGAGCCAATTGTATTTAAATCAACATTTAATTGCCTCCGAGTATCAATGTTGAGCGTGTACTTAATGTCGAATACGAACCATTATATAATGGAGGGTAATTAGGAGCATTTGTTGCCTCCGGTAGGGTCTGTGTTGGTGGTCTTGGAGAGACGCACTCCGAGGCTCTTTTGTTTCGCCTCAACAGGTTAAGAAAGGTTTATTGTCCTCGTGCGACGTCTCGTATCTGTTGGGCGGGAAATATCGCCGTCTGGGCAATGCCTTCCCCGGCCAACGTTAATTATTGACTAAACAATGGTTTGTTTTTTCTGTAAACGGGTTTCTGGTTCCCTTCGTGTATTGGTCTGGTTTTAATCTCGATATTTTCTTTCTGTTTTGGCTTCTTAGTCTTTGTGAGCTATGCTTCCTGTTAGCCAGACCACACACTAGAAGGTGAAGGGACGACGACGTTTCGGTCCGTCCTGGACCATTCTCAAGTCGATTGTGAGCCTCCTATTTGCTTCCTATTTGTCATCTTACTCTTGCTCTCATTTTTGTTTGTTTCTTTGGTAATTCTATTTCTCGTCTTTCTCTTCCTCATCATCTTCATGTTTCTCCTGCTCCTTCTCATATTCCTCCTCCTTCCGTTCAGCCTCTTAGCCCCTCCTAAGGAGGAGGGGGTTTCTACAGGTGATCACAGGTGTCTGTTAACTTCTCTTAACAATGATGTGATTAATAAGGCGGAATTTGACTTAATTATCCCCCGTCTGGTTAATTAGACAGTATTTGATTAATTATCCCACCGTCTGTTTAGTATAGTTAATTTTTATTTTGTCTCTGTTCTGTCTTGAATATTATTGGTATTAATTATTTACTGTTGTCGAAATTGTCCGCTGCTGTTAATTGCTTTAAGTATGCCAATTGTGAGCCAGAGATTGCTTAATCGTTTGGGCAGTGTTCTAGAAGCTAAGGGTGAGGAAGATGTCATTTAATAAATTTGTCATGTGCACTATTTAATTCAAATTACCAGTTTATATTGAGAAGAACGAGTTGCCCATTGCTGTTTTTGTCGTGTGATCTGAAGATTGATGTTTTGATGATGTTGATTGTTGATGGTTGATGGTTGACGGTTGATGGAAGGGCATATCAGTTGTTGCGTCAGTGATTATACCAGGGACTGTTATGGGCCATGGTTGAAGTGGTTGTTAAAGTGATTCAAGTGGATTTGGTGATTGTAGGGATTAGCATACAGGAGTTCATGCTGTTAAGGAAATATTCAACCTCGGAGATATATTTTGTTGACAGATGTCAATGTTGAAGTCACCCCTTAAATGATGTGATGATTATTGAGTTTATTGCATAGCATTCAATTCCTCAGATTATTTGAGTGTAATTTGTGTTGGGATTAATTCTATCAACAGGTGACCAAGGCGCATCTGGGAACATCCCGTGTGTAGGTTCGAACCCTCATCACGGGCCCTTGTGGATTTGTTCAACAGCTGCAATACTTACAGGGGATTTCAAAGTTCCATGAGGGTTGTGAGGTTCTTATCCTATCGTCCTCACCGGCTCTGGCTCTCTATATCTCCTCTGATATCTAATCAGTTATTTGATTTTACAGTATGTGGATCTGAGCTGTATCTGTCATGTGGACAAGACCACACACACTAGAAGGTGAAGGGACGACGACGTTTCGGTCCTTCCTGGACCATTCATCGACTTGAGAATGGTCCAGAACGGACCGAAACGTCGTCGTCCCTTCACCTTCTAGTGTGTGGTCTGGTCAACTTACTTTAGCCACGTTATTCTGACGCACCGCCTGTATCTGTCTTATTTGGCATACCCGTGTCTGGGGTATACCTGTGTCTGGGGTATACCTGTGTCTGGGGTATACCCGTGTCTGGGGTATACCCGTGTCTGGGGTATACCTTTGTCTTGGTATACCTCACCCTTTAGCGTAGAGGTAGATGTCTCGCTTCCTCATAATTCACCTGATATTGCTTGGCAAGTCGGGTGCTTCGCTCTAAGTTGTTTTGGGAGAACTTTGCTGCTGCTGCTGTTCGTTCTGCTTCTACTGCTGCTGCAACAGTTGATAATGTTATTAATGTTGACACAACTGCTGCTGTTGCAACAGTTGCTGCTGTAACTACTGTTGTCACTGCTGCTACTTATGCAGTTAATGTTCCGTATAAGGCTGTGAAAACCAGTAAAATAATGTTAAATATATCCTCAGGTGATAATGGCTATCATTATCAAGATTTCTCTTGCTGAAATGTCACTGATTGTAAAATTAGCATATTCTCTGTCTTTGTCTCTCTCTCTCTCTCTCTCTCTCTCTCTCTCTCTCTCTCTCTCTCTCTCTCTCTCTCTCTCTCTCTCTCTCTCACTCTCTCTCTCTCTCTCTCTCTCTCTCGTTTCCAGATTCCTTATTATTCCTTATTTCTTTGCAGAAATTCTCTTTATGATTCTCTCCTCCCTCTTTTGTCCATTCTTCTCATCCTCCCCTCCCTCTCCCCCTCCCTCTCCTCATTCGCCCCCCTTCCTTACCCACACATACTCATCCCTCTCCTCATTAAGTCTATTCATCTCCTCATGTCAGATGATTGTCTCCTTTTCTAGTTATCGTGGAAAATACGATGCTTTATCTGTAAATCCCGGGGGGGGGGGGCAGGAACGTACGTACGAACCCAAGCAACCCACCCAACCCATCGAAGCTAATACTCAGAAAACGTCAGTATTTGGGTGAAATATTGACGGACGGACTGCGTCAAAAATGAGACGTATTAGGGTGATTGGACAGGCTAGTTCCTTGTTTCCTTGTATGTCTAAAGTTCCTGTGAGTGATGGAAGGTTCAGCCTATGAGATGAACCTTCCATGGGAATAATATACAGGAGCGGTGTTGATTCAATGTTGATTCAGTATCATCAATGTTGATTCAGCATCATCAATGTTGATTCAGCATCATCAATGTTGATTTAGCATCATCAATGTTGATTTAGCATCATCAATGTTGATTTAGCATCATCAATGTTGATTCAGCATCATCAATATTGATTCAGCATCATCAATGTTGATTCAGCATCATCAATGTTGATTCAGCATCATCAATATTGATTCAGCATCATCAATGTTGATTCAGCATCATCAATGTTGATTCAGCATCATCAATGGTGATTCAGCGTTGCTCTTGCATATTGATGCCCAATAGTTAAGCTGCCTCTGTAACCCATCATATAAAATAGTGTACAAAAACACTATTGTAAACCTCACCTTGATAATAAGTAAATACAAAAACACGTAACAATAATTAAATAATCTGCAAAAATAATTTCTAGAAGAAATAATTTCCTACCAAAAAAAAAAATAACACTGACAAATAATTCCCTGAACTATTCACTGAAACAAAACAGCATTAGAAA